CTCTCTCTCTCTCTCTCTCTCTCTCTCTCTCTCTCTCTCTCTCTCTCTCTCTCCCCTCTCTTTCTTTCTCTCATAAATTGAACATTTGACATTTATGTCTTATCGGGGCATAATCTAGAAAAGAGGCTGGGTTTCGGCCTTAGAAACCCCCAACTTCGTAAAATGATACGAATGATGAAATCCGAAGCAAGGCATAAAGTATCTTTCCTTAGAGAGGAACGCATCACGTGAGAGGAAAGATACACCACGAAAGATATATATTTTTTTCATGCTAAATATTATTGCAAAATTATAATATAATCTTGTACTATCTAAACTATCAATGCAATCAGCAGGATATACTTCTGCGTAACGTACATCTTGTTTTGATGTTTATTACTAAGATATTCGTAGAGTTACCTTGACTTGCTTTAATTTAGAATTCTTATAACGAGCAAACATTGCGGAGCGTAGTGTCTCTCTCATAAGGCATATAAAATATTTCCTTCTAGTTTAACTTAAATTTTAATCAAGTTACTTTACATGCATGTCTCTCTATGCCATGCAAGTACATAGTATATACGAGCTCATCTACGGCAATGTTTTTGAAGAAGCTCTGCTTGAGTTTACGCAATACAAGCGCTCGAACGTGGTGGTCTACATTATATGAAAAAAATGATCGTGGTATTGATCGACCTCTGCGTGATACGAGATACTCGAAGAAGTATCAACCCTGTATTTTCGAGCACGGTACGGGAGAATTGCTAAAGTAACGCGGATAGTCATTATCTATGCATATTACGGTGCAGGATAGCGGTAATCTGAGAAGCCGCTCCGCTGGGATATGAACATGTATAAGTCGGCTTATAAAACGAGGACTATGCGGGAAGGAGGGAATGTAGTTTCTCACGTGATGAAATATTTAAAAGAAATGAAACATACACGTAATATTTTTTTGCATCATACAAGCGACGAGGATATTATCTGCGGGATTTCTCACGTGCTGGCCGATAATTATATAGAAAGGCGTAAATGAACTTTCTCTAAATTTTGTGAATTTGCATTGAAGACCAATACAATTATAATAATAAATAATAATTTTTTTTCAACTCGAAATAGAGTAAGCAAAATATCCGAGAATGTCACAGAGAATTTATATTTAATAAAGAAATAATGTTTCAAATGATTAAACGGGTAAAAAGATATTTACAAAAAAATGAAGCAAGAATGAAGTATTCGATTTAATAATAGATCGGAATGTGTAATAAATGTATAACTTTTATTTCTTTCTCAGTAATCTTGCGAAGTGTCAGAGCAAAGTAGCGAAATTTGTGACTACCGCTTTTTCTCACGTAAGAGTATCTCACGTGCATGGCACGACACCGAGCATTAGAAACGATGTTTGACGCATCTGCGAGCACCTGCGGAACGATCACGTTCCTCAGGAGAAGCACCTGCGACGAAAAAATGACCAACGGGACTTGGTTTGCTTCTGGTTCGCGCGCATCTGTAAACAGAGTCGACGAATTGCAGCCGTAAAAATTTTTAGCGGAGAGAAATTTACACGAAACCTTTTATCATACAAAAAAGTAAGGGAAACAGGAAGCTCTCTCTTTTTTTAGTCTAACTGTTTCTACTTTTACCGGAAATGTTTTTTGAACGAATTGCATTAACGGATAAAATACATTTGTAAAATTGTCACATCGTGATTGCCCCCTTCGCTGGGGGGATTTCCAATAATCAGGGGTTGGTTAATAACCAGCGGTTTACGGCTAGTTCTGCTCCGTAAGACGCGTTTGATAATGTGATGAAGATTACTTCGGCGTTAATGTGCACAAATTACAACGCCGGGATTAATAGAGAGGTGGTGGCTGAGACGGCTCGATGTTAATGCGGTGCCCGTAAACGTATTTATCAGCGCATCAACGAGATTAAGGGAGTCTTCTGAATAATAGACCAAGTGCAGAATCTACAGCGAAGTGCGGATAAAATAGAGCGATGTGTTGGAGAACAAAGTTAATTATTACACCGCAAGCTACAATGTCCATTCCGCGGTATTATTCCGTTAGCTCGCGCGTTTCTCCTCTTCCGTTCCACAAAAGTGAACGCGCATAAATCTCCGATCGCAAGACTTAAGATTACTTTGTGCTGCCGTTTCATTAAAAAGAGAAGACTTATTAAATACGCGTGGCTGAATAAAAGAACCGAGTAACGGCACGTCCGCGCTCGTAAACTAATAAAACACTTTTTTTTTCCTCTCGTCGCGTGACATACCAAACAATTATGTAGATTAATAATTAAATATTTATAACTTATAATGCAGCCGAATAAATAAAGCTTTTACAAAGCTTTTCGTGCGTGTTATTATTATTGAGATTCATATTTTCTGATCTACCGGCTTATGAATATTGATAACAGAATACAACGTAAGTATAAAGAGGGTAATTGCTTGAAACTGAAATAAATTTCACGAAGCCGTAGGAACTTATTGACGATGCCATATTTAATTTTTCCTCGGAAAAGGGATAACAGGGAAGCTCAGCGATGTCAATTCAATACGTTCAATAGCTGCGAGACCGACATAACGGCGAGGCTCTTTACTCGATTCTCACGAGACGAAGCTGACTGAAGCCGCCGTGGACCGGCGGCGAATTTAATTGAGGAGCCTCGAGACATTTCAGAACGCAAGCATGCTGCGCTCAGTGTCGTCGAAGTGATCGCGGTGATTTACGGGAATGGTGAATCTCTGTGAATCGAGGTATCAAGCGTGCGTCGTTTCAATCCTAGATCTTCAATTCGGGGCGCGAGCCGTCGTTACCTAGCTTCTCGTATCGCATCGATCCACGCTTTGCAGTCCGTCTCTGTGGCCGCTTTTAACTCGTATTGCCGTTGGTTCTCCCTCCTGTACGATATCGCGAAACAGTGCTGCAACAGAGGAACGATAAAAAATTGAGTTATCTCCAGTGCGGCAATGACGACGGCGGGACCATCAAAAAGCTCAATCCCTTCACGGTGCTCGATTTGCGCATTGTGCACCGTGAATGAAAAATGCCGTACGCAAGCAAACCGATAACGTTTCAAAGCGTAGAGAGGCAAACTAGAATGCCTCCCCCCCTCTCTCTCTCTCTCTCTCTCTCTGTTTCTCTATGCGCTCCTTACGCCTTTGATCGGATTCAATTTATATGCTTTTCGCTACTTATGTAAATTTCTACAAATCCGGGGAAGCTCGCCCTCCCTCGAATTTCATTAAATTGCCCCGTAAATATCTATATAATGCGAAAAGCCTAGAACTGCGTCTATTCTCTATGGCGGCGGCATTGTTCCGGGATTTATCCGGGGATTTTATTTGCACGATGGCTCTTACGAAGGCATTAACTATGCAAACCCTTATCATGATATCATTTAGCTACGTGGCGATTGCAGACTCAGTGTAAATCAGAAACTGTGCCCGGTCAACGCGAACAATCGTATTTCACACGGTTTGGTTTTGCACAGCAATTTTCGAACTATCTACCGATCATGCAAATCTGGAATCAGCGGATTATTTCGCACGACCGGGTATTAACGAACACAAATCACAAAACTCCCGCATGTATCCCCCATGATTTTTTTTCAATGTATGAGATTACAGTTGTGAAAAATGTAAACCCATCATGAAAGTTCACATTGTTGTTTAAAGGCAAAGGAATATATCATACGCCGTGCTTTGTCAGCGCAGATTTCTCTATCCCCGACTAGAAAGTTCCCGGCTCGTTTGTGCTTGACAACATTCCACAAGGCAAACACGCGCAAGTGGGAAGGCCGTCTCAGAGAGGACCTCGCTTTACAGAGTTTTCAAAGAAAATCCGCGAACCGTTTTTATTCATTCACTAGGCGTGTTCGGCATAGCACGTTTCTGCGCGAATGTCTATCGCTGCTGCGTATTCGTATTTTAAGAAACGCGTGACGTAGACATCTCATCCCTTTAACCGCTACATAGATATTACATACTTAATTTGGCTTTGCGTGAATTTTACGTGGACGTTTCTTCGTAAAGAGCGAGAAATTAACGCAACGCGATATAAGCGAATTAAGTAAACTGAAAAATCGTGATTACGCGAGAGTGCAGTTGCCGCCCCCTTTTCGTGCGTTATGATGTATGAGTTTATCAGGCGGAAATATATGGTTTTTCTAGGATAAAACGGGTGTGCATTTAATTACGCCAAATGGCCTTGTTTCTTTTTTTTTTTTTTTAAGGGAGGGAAAGGATTTGCCTTTTCTTTTTCTGTCAGCACGTGTGAAAAGAAGAATTGTTCCCTTTGCATTCAGGACAACGCACGGAACAGTTCGCAGCAAATTGATATTTTTACTCGGAGTGAATTAGAAGATGGATTCTCACACCTGTGTACATTAAAATTAAAGCAGCGCGCCCGTTTATTATCCCGTTCGCGTGCAGCGCAGCGCGGAGTGCATCATTTAATTTCCGTCTGCGGCATGTATCCTCGACGCAGCTTATAACGCGGGATACACACCGATACATTAATTAATTAAAATCTGAGGTGACGATGTAAAATGGAAGCGTTAATTATACTCGGGATGCATTAAAATACGATAATGACTGCGTGTTTCTCCGGGCGACCGGATTACGCGTCTCCGCCCGATAATTTGCGCTGAATCGAATATTCGCGGCGCCAATGTGAGGTCGGCCGCGATCAGAAATTAATAATCATATTTTATCGGTTTATTTAATATCCCAGGAGGATCAGGATTAATTATTGAAAAAGAGTAGCGAGAGAATTTTTGAGATAAACGCGCTACATCTCGGAATTAAATCCTTAATAAATCAGAGACCTGTCGCTTCGCGAATTTATATTAATTAATTTTACGTCGCGGCGCGAACGTACGTAACGTTTTATAAAATTCTCTCGTGCGACGGGAAGGATACGCTGCAACGTCAATCGATCCGATAGATCTGTACTCTAGATTAACTTCATTCACGCCACATTAGTTTTCTATGGGATCATTATGAGCATAATTGGTATGTATGCATCTGAGCGCTCGCGAGAGATGCGGCTAATTAAGGCGCATCGATATTACTTTAGCTTCGTTAACTGGTTCTCCACTATGTACGATACTTCGATCGGCGAGACGGACATTTTGTCCGCGTTGTCGGTTATAACGTCCGTTGTGATCGGCGACAAAAGGCTCGCACGTTACATTGTCGGACATGTGTGTGTTATGTACGCGCGGGACGTGGAGCAGCGGATCAATTGTAAGTGGAATCAAGTATCATAACAATGACCATCCGAGTGAATATTCATGACCCATATTGCCGAGAAGGCAAGTCCGAGTGGGCTAAGTGCTTTCTATGATATTACTTTGAAATTCAAGTCCGCGCGCTGGTCACGAAACAGTCGGAGTACAGTTTCAATTATGGAAACGCCATTAGTTAGCACTATTGATTTTCGATGTCTAAAGATATCAGTCATTTAGATAATTCTGTTATGCAAGACGAGAAATATTTTATCAATTCCCTGCAGAAAATAGATAAATTAAAAGCAATACCATCTGGTCATTATTCCTAATCCAATGCTTTTCCGAATAATGAGAAAAGTGTCTGTTGACCAGGAGTCACTTTTTCTACTACTCTTTTTCAGTACTCGAGACAGACAAACACCTGTCACATATAGATCTATATGCGGTGAATACTTTATCGCTACTTTGGTAATATTACATGAAGAAACAAAAATAAAAATTCAAATAAACATAATACATGGTGATCATCGTTTTTGATTATTCTTGTCCCGTTAACACAAAAATATTTATAAATAAAAATATTTGTATAATAATTTAATTTTGATGAACATCCTGCATTTAATCCAACATATCGCACTAAATCTGAATTAAAATTATTGTTTTTTTTACATGAATGCAAAAAAAAATAGTAAAATGGTATATCGTATTTCTGATTTTTTTTTGGTGACTGTAATTTTTTTCTCGTATCACAGTATCGCGTTTCCGCAATACTATGCATTCTGGACGCGACATTATTTTTCGCGACACTTTTACATCTATGGTTACAGTCTTCTCTAGAATTTCGTTGTAATATATAATGAGACTGTAAGGGAGGCATTATGCAGTAAGCGAATCGTGCAAGATTCCTTGAGCTTGAGCCTGAGAAGATTTCTTGTGCTTTGCAACATACATATATTTTCCGGAACGCAAGCCGAGAAAATTAGATACATGTGAGTTTATCCAAAAAGTATGTTATGATTATAACATACATTTGCTATTACGAAAAAAACCATAATGTTTTTAAAAAAAAATTTAAGATCTCGGCAAGTGCAATCGCAAAATTATATGTAATATAGTATAATATAATATAGAATATCATGTATAAGTTTATATTTCCATTATTAAAATATGTAAATGAATTAATTCTCCCTCTTTAAAATATAAATTAAATATAAAATAAATTAATTATAAGTTTTCTGTAAAATATCTAACACATTATCTGATACATTAAAAATTACAATATATTAAATTTTGTTCGCTAATTGTTGCTTTGTAATATTTTTAATTTTTAATATATTTATATTTTTTGCTTACGATATTATACAAGTTCGGAGGATTTATACTGTTTATTTTATAATAGTACGACAATAAAAATTACAATATTGAAGCGAAATGTAAAAAGTCATTATATTATGTTCTTTTTCTTCCATGTGAGAAGAACTTTGTAATCGATCAATATGAGTCGAAGGACTTCCTTTTCTCGAATCTCTAAGGAATATGAGGATTTAACGGCGATACGAGAACTTTCTCTCTTTTTCAGAAAAAGAACCGTCTGAAAGACCAGGACTCTCGAGAACATGAAAATAACGGTAAAATCGCGTAAACGTATCGTAGTTCCCAAGTGTATTTGACGAGCTCTTTGCTCTCGAAACTATCACATGAGAGAAGTTTGTTTCGGCGTTTGACAATTGTACGTGCTTATCGAAATAAAACTTGTTTGAGACCAGTGAAACTAGCAGTTACGATTTTTATCTTCTTAGCATGATATCATGATAGTCTTTACATTTCATTTAAACATTTCACATATATTTTATACATGAAATTAAAGAAAATTCGAAAATGTATACAAGGATAATCGCTCAGACACTAATTTTTTGACATTAAAAAAAAGAATACTTAAACCACCTTAAAAATTTTTTAATTTTATGTAAAAACATAAATTGCAGATACTCCTGAAATAAATATAATCTTCCTCAAAAGTCTATTTATAGTCTATATTTATAGTCTATATTCTAAAGGTTTCAAAAGTTATCCATACAATATCATCAAAGATACATGAGGAAATCTGAATTGCTCAATCGATTGTGACAAGGCAACGCTGATAATTCATCATACGACTGATGACCGATATGGTTCGATACGACGATTTACTCCGTCCATACTTGCAGTTACTTAGGGATAATTACTAGCTAGATTTCCGTACAGAGAGAGCGTTTCGCCCCGATAACATGCACAAGGACACTATAGAACTCCCTCACCCCCTTACTCCCTTATCAAGAAGTGAGACTCGTGTCAACTTACATTTAGATTAGATGCATATTCTACCCCGCTTTGCTTGCACAGAGAACTGCGACTGACTAACTCTATTTAATACACATATATGTCTTTTATACGTACATTCTTGTTTTAATAATAATTTAAACAGTGAGTTTACTTCGTAATTTACATTTCATTTGAATATCTTACATATTCAAAATTTCAAAGTGCGACAATTTCGGTATGAGAGTACCGTTAGAACATTACTGATAGAAGTAACTACCCCGAAAGAAGAAGATCCTTGGACACGTATTCCGTTTATATCAAGGTCGAGCTTTGGGTCCAATTTAGAACTATACATGACTCTGCAATTGTATTACGGCTATTCGTAAATC